TAATTTCCAAAAGTGGGCTGCTCTGGCTAAAAGGGATATGAGTGCTGTAGTTTATTATAAATGTTTATCAACAGGTATAAAGTGTGAGTTACTTCCATAGGTTTTTAGATGGAATATAATGAGATTGTGAAGGACCTCTCAATCTGACGTATCACATATTAGTACATAGACCCGTTATCTAATCTGCTGGTTTGTTTTGAATAGATGTTAATTCTGATCTTTTTGTCTTCAAGAATTTGTACAAACCTTTTAAAAGTTGGTCCACCTGCCAAATTATTCCATCCAAAAGAAAGTGTGGCTAAATTTAAATTTTTTATGTATCCTTTCTTACCCACTGAAGTAATTAGTTCTCATATTGACATTTTATTTCTTTTTTTAATGAATCCATTCTTATATATTTCTTCTTTGTCATACCATTATTATAAAGACAATTTTAAAATATTTTTAATTTTTTTTAAAAAATAAAAAATAAAAAAATATTATAAAGACCATCGCCATTACCTACACACTATCATCATCATTTAATTATCTCAGATTTTCATTTAACATGTTTATAACTATCTGCACGACATCCCATATCCTTTTTTTTTTTAATTTTCTCAGTCCTATGTCCAGATCTAGTGTTGGTTCGATCAAGATAAAGCTTTGAGTTTTTGTTTTTCTTTTCTTTTCTTTTTTCTTTCCCCAGGATTTTTGAACAGTTGTATTACTCTTTCCCCTTGGATTTCCTCCCTCTATGCTATTCTCTGACCGGGGCTTACAAAGTTAGCTTACAGGGGGGCCTGTTTTTGTTTTTTGTTTTTTTTCTCACCCATCTAGCTTTAGGTGACTAGTGAACACGTTGACTTAAAATTCCAGAATTGTGAGGGACTAGAGGCATGAGAAAATACCAACCAAAAATGAGGACAGACTTCGAAAATACAACTTACAGAAAGTATGCACAAGGATCAGGCATGCATTTGATTTGTTGCTTTGGAAGGTGTTTATACAAAGGACTTGTCTTTTTTTTTTTTTTTTAATTTTATTATGTTTTGTTAGTCACCATACAATACATCATTAGTTCTTGATGTGGTGATCCACGATCCATTGTTTTCGTATAACACCCAGTGCTCCATGCAGTACGTACCCTCCTTAATACCCATCACCGGGCTAACCAGTCCCCTCTCCCCCCTCCCCTCTAAAACCCTGTTTGTTTCTCAGAGTCCATAGTCTCTCATGGTTCATCTCTCCCTCCAATCCCCCACCCTCCCAAGGACTTGTCCTTTTTAAATGACGCCTGACATTTAAGTAGGGCTTCTGGTAGCGGGTAGAAGATTCTCCATACTCAAAGCAAAGGGCAAATGGCTGTGGACTTTGAAAAACCCCCTGCCCACCTATTCCTGGAGACTATTTGATATTCTCACTATCTTCTGGTGGTTTGAAAAGAATTTCAGTCCTTTTATCAAGAAAGAAAAAAGAATGGCTTAGAACAGTACTTTTCAAACAGTGTTCTATGGAGCCCTAGGATTTCAAATCTCCCTATCAATGTGGATGAGGATGAGGACAAGGATTTGTGTTTACTGGGGGAGGAACCTAAAGTCAGGGGGTGCCAATTAATGAACACAGGTGGCTTAATCACATAGAAAAAATTTTGCAAACTCAGGAATCACTTGGTGTGCCTGACGCATCTCCTTGTTCAATAGCTCTCCCGTTTACACTGCCATCTCTCTGAGCTGCACCTTTGCGTCTTTTACTTTTGAGGATGCATGATTAAATCGGACCTGCACACATAATCTGGGATAATGTCCCCACCTTAATTTCATCTGTAACCCTCGTTATCTTTTGCTGTGTAACATACCATATTTATAAATTCTGGGTGATTAGAATGCGGCATCTTTGTGGGGGGGTTATGTTTTCCCTACCACCACATTCTATGGGGTTTCTTTTCTTCACTTTGAATAATTCTAGATTAGCAAAATTAAAATTTCATGGCACATACCTTTTGTCCTTAGCAGTTTAAACATTATGTTGATTAATGATTTTCAAAGAGCAAAAGCATGTGTTAACACAAAATGTGCAAATTTGTGTATATTTATACATGTGTGTTTAGAATTATATATATATACAAAAAAATTTATATATATATAAACTATTTAATTCAATGAATCCCCTGGGCACATATTATGTGCAAAGCACAGTATTTGTGAATATAAATAGAGCAGACACAATCTCCTTACTGAAATTACAATCCAGTGAAAATGAAGGATCGAAAAATGCACAAATAAATACATTTTAAACATCTGAAATTTTTGAGTGTATTAAAACAAAATGTATTCAAAATCTATAATGATTGTTTCCCTTATAATTGGGGAAATATGATGTTTGACTTTTCTATTTTTTCTTCTCTTATTTCAAGCCTGGGTTGAATAAAAGTTTGATTTTGCATATTTAAAAAAATAATATTGAGTGAGAGAAGTGTGTTATAACTATTTGGACAATATTTCAATATAATATTTGGCAATTCCCTTAAGGCTAAGTGAATACTCTTTGAGATAATATCCAATCTCACTACTTTTAAGAATGTATGTGGTTTATGCTTGCTCTTTAAGAAACTAGATAATAGGGGCACCTGGGTGGCTTAGTCCTTAAGCATCTGCCTTCAGCTCAGGTCATGATCCCAGGGTCCTGAGATCGAGCCCCGCATCAAGCCCCGCATTGGGCTCCCTGTTCAGCAGGAAGCCTGCTTCTCCCTCTCCTACTCCCCCTGCTTGTGTTCCCTCTCTCGCTGTATCTCTCTCTGTCTAATAAATAAATAAAATCTTAAAAAAAAAAAAAGAAACTGATAATAACATTGTCGTATATTTAAGAAAGTATGAGACAGGGATTTGGGTGCATTCAATTTTTCAAAATAAATTTTAGAAACATATTAATATAAAGTAAATATTAGAACTAGTCAGTTTCTAAGACCAGAAGATGCTGATAGTGTTTGTGTAGAATTTTGCAATTTTTCTACACCAGGAGAAAGCAGAAATATGCAAAGCCTCACTCCTGAGTTTAAAGCTGACAGTCAAGTATTTTCTGGGTAAAGAGTACCTGTCTCTCAGTAATTCAAAATGGACCCCAATTCCTATTTACTTCCCATGAACATCAAATGTTATTTTAGCATAAATGCTATCTGGACAAAAAAAAATATGACTATATGTTGACCATATGTTGGCTTAGAAAAAGTTCCCAATTTCACTTAGATCTTACCAACTAAATTTTTGCAACATAATTTAAAGCAACTATGAAAATATAAAATTTTGTTTTTTCTGGTTATAATTACACATCTTTTAAACATTAAAATATTGATAATACAACTATAATTTTCCCATCATCAGTGGAAAGTTTGATGTATAGTTTTCCAGATTTTTTCTTTGTAGACACTAAAAAAGAAAGCAATATAAAATCACATTAAAATCATAGATCTCTGACTTTGTACTGATTTTCTTTGGCCTAGCATGCCTTCTTTTCCAGAACATCTTCCTGAAAACATGTTCCATTATTCATCTTTCATTAATACTTTCTTCCATGAGATCCCTGATATTCCTATTATTAATGGAGACTTCTTTCTTTCTATAGGAATACATTTTAGCTTAAAGTTTCTCAATAATGCTTATTTCCACTGGTGAAGGTCTATTTGTGGGCATTTCTGAGTCTAAAAAAAATTCAGTGGGAACAATATTTCATGTTACATTAATCATTAATCTTTCCAACTTTACAAAACCAAAATGAGAAATTTAGTAAGGCCAATCTTAGATGAGATCTCCAGTTGCATAAAGTTTAAAGTTATTTGAACCCTGCTCCCCTGTGCTCTTGGTACTAGTGGGCATGCATACCCACACCCACGATAAGAAAAATGAAATACAAGACAAACTTTAGAAGGCAAAACTCCTTGGAAGATTTAATTCCATTTCCCAAAGAGTTGTCGTTCTCAATTACAGCTTAATCTGTTGCTTTAATATTTATTGTGTTAAATTTCATTGACTTAAATTGAACCGAGTACCCCTAATTCTGAAAGTAGGTCAGCATCACATACAACATAGGAAGCATCTGTGCTTTTTTTTTTGCTATTAAGTCAGTCTGAACCTTGTAGGGAACCATCTCTGGTGAGATTATCTGTGCTTTTCTGTGTAAGCTTGTGGAAGGTAGGAATTGTACAGTTTTCATCTTTAAAGCCCCTTCTTTTTAGCAGAGATTCTGGTACACAGAAGCTCAATAAATGTTTGTGAATTAAATGTGGAACACAGAATCACAATTTATTTTGATTGTTCCCAGATTTTATTAGAGCCTAGAATTGTTATCATTGAAAAGGTTGAGGAATTTCATGCTTTATCAAATTCTTAAGCATAGTTCTAAAGGTTTTTATGCTCTTTTTACTTTGCCCCTAGCCTAGAAAAAGTCAACCAATGCTACAAATCTAAAGACAAATGCTTGACATTTTAGTTTAAAACTTTTGGACTTCAGTACATTATCAGACTAACGGGGGGAAAAATGCTTAATTGGTTTTACTGACAGAACTGATACTCCAGAAGTAAATTTCACCAGAGTCAAAATGGTCTGTGAAAGATTTTCTGTAACCACAGGTGTAATTAACATTTGGTTATGAGGAACCAATCTTGGATTTATGTGTAGTTAGAAAAAAAAAAGAAAAAGAAAAAAAGAGGATTGGTTGTAGCTAAATTCACCCTGGGTAGGTTTGTTATGAGCTGGTAATCCTAGGCCTGGGATAGAAATAATAGGTGATAGAAGATCGATTAAAGGAAGAGCTGGGTTGCCCAGAAACAAATAATAAAAGTGTAAACATAATATTTTTCAAAAGTTATTTAAGTTTCAACAACTGTCTTCAACATTATACAAAAATAATGTAGCAAATGTATATAAAGATTGAGGAATTATTTCCAAGTCAGAAACAATAAGAAATTTAAGATTGTCCATAAGAACAGTTTGACACAAAGCTTTAAAAAGGACAACATACCAACCTCGCAGGTGGAACTCTTCTAAGGTTTAGATTGTTGTTTATTCTCTTAGGTTGACCCCCAACTCTGATGTCAGGCGCCCTTGTATCTATTCACACATGTGCCGTAGTTCTGGTGTATTTAATTATGAGTGTGGAAGGACCTAGGAGGAAGGGACAAAAAAAGGAAGAGAAGAAATGGGACGAAGAGAAAGAGAGAGATTTTTTAGTGTTTCAGCAATCCAAATACATGAGTCATTTGGATCGCTTGCAAATTGTGCTACATCCAACAAAAGCAGAGACTCTGAGACTGTGTAGCTTAGAGGCATTTTCCCTTCTCTGTTTTATCTGCAATTCTTAAAATACAAGGTTACTCATCTATCCAAAACATTGCATTCGGATGGGAATTTATTAGTCAAATACAAGGTAGAATAATGTGATTAAAAACTAAAATAAAATTAGATGCACAAGTCTTCATTCCAGTACGTTTTGAGTCTTTCGACCATTTTCAAAGAAGGAAAAAACAATAGCAACATTATCTCATCTTACATTACTCTGAAATTTGCTGCTATCTACAAAATATTCACTTTCTGACTTATCAGACTTTTTCTTACTAGTTTTCCAAGTTGCTGGTATTAGTTAAAAGATAGCCATGTAGAAGCTATGGTTTCTACTAGAGATAGAAAGGTTCCAGGCAGAGTTTTCTCTCCAATAAATCAATAAGAAATGTCCTCTTCAGTTAAAGAGAAATGGACATAACCTCAGAATGGCAAACAATAATAAATTATAAGGGAATCTATATTTTGATCCCTATGTAACACAAGTAAGAATGGGTGGTAAATACAATAACACCATAGATTGTGGATTCTTCTGTTTATTTTATAAAATAAAATAGTGTATCACAGTCATGCAAATAAAATTTTCAATTTCAACTTCTCCTAAGGATCCAAACATTTTCACAAAGGAAAGACAGCTGTCCCAGGCACTAAATGGTACAGTTAGTCAATGCACCATGAAACCCTTATAGAGGAAAGCAATCTTGTGAATGCTTCCTGAGTAAGATACTTGGAACTACGCATTAGTACGCTTTTCCCTTTTATCATACCTCTGCTTCTCCTGGAATGGTTCCTTTAAGAATCCACCATTATATTCCATTTGACTCCTAGCAACTAATTTATTTAATTTTTTTTTTTTTTTTTTACTATCATCTCTAAACATTGGGGAACACAAGTTCACATGCGCGTGCGCGCGCACACACACACACACACAGGGCTGGCTTATAATTTTATCAGTAAATACTGTAATTAGCAATAATCAGGGGCTTTGGGTGAACTGAGATGCCAAAGCAACATACAGTCAGGCCCCTCCCTTTTGTGATAGTTATAGTCCCTCACTCCCTCTGTCTCTGAGTATCTGCGTCTCTTTCCCCTGTCTAGTTTTCTTTTGGCGTCTTTCTCACATATATGCAAGCACAAAATTACATGTCTCTGATAGGTAAGTGAATATCTCTGCATTTTATGAGATTGTATCTGCCTCTGTGATTGAATAATACCACTTACTGTTCTTCCACTTTTAATTTCTTTGAACTGTTGCCACAATGGTCCTAGCCCACAGCAGGGCACCAACTAACGCTACTGACTTGAATGGTTCTAGACACAAAAGGATGCTTGTTGCAGTCCAGAAAAACGTGAAGTGCACGACAGAAAAAGAGAATTATTAATTTTTTTGGTAGCACTATATTCTAGATACTGTACTAGAGATGCTGTATGTATTTATTTTAAGCATGTGATGACAGGGTATGTACTAATTTTACCATTTGACAGATGAAGAGATGGACTCATTATGGAAAAATAAACAAGCCATCAAGTCAACCTTGTTCTGGGTGGTAGGGTCAGAATTTTAATTCACAATGCTTTGGCACAAAAGCTGTTTTATTTCTACTAATTGGAGAGTGAGAATTACCCTTAGTCAATTTTCACAGAATAGCTCTATTCAGTAAGAAAAACTGCATATTCGGGGCGCCTGGGTTGCTCAGTTGGTTAAGCGTCTGACTTCGGCTCAGGTCATGATCCCGGGGTCCTGGGATGGAGCCCTGTGGCGGGGCTCTGCACTCAGTGGGGAGTCTGCTTCTCTCTCTCTCTCTCTCTCCCTCTGCCCCTCCCCCCACTCATGTGCACGTGTGCATGTGCCCACTCTCTCTCTCAAATAAATACATAAAATCTTTCAAAAAATAAAAATAAATTGCATATTCTATGAGATCATGGCTTGAAAACTATTTTTCTAGATTTTTTTTCAGTTAGTAAAGTTCCTAAATTTCAGGAGAAATGGATGAAACCATACATTTAGTGGATGTCTACTACAAATCAGGTAAAATTCTCCCCTCTCTCTCTCTCACTTATACCCACCTAGTTATTCTGCATCTATTTCTACAGGTTGTCCTTCATTTCAGGCTAATATGTATAGACTTGCTACTTAAAAGTCAGGGTAGAATTGGTCTGAAGCCTTGGGAGCTTCCCAGGTGAAATCTGAAGCTAGCCCTCATATAAGGAGAGCAAGGAGAGACCAAGAAAAGAGGCCACCACTTCAGATCAGTAGATGGCAATTTTAATAAGGAAGGGAACTTACTTATGAGGCTCATCTTGGCTGGCCACAAGATGAGTAGGTCCCAACACCAGAATCTTAAGCATATAGAGAGGCCTTAATGGGCTCCATCATGTAATCAGTCCAGATGGTCTCAACAACACATTGCTTTCTCAAACCTGTGCCTTTGAAAACAGCTCCTACTGTGCGAATGGTGGGTGAAATGTACATTCAAAGAACAGGGGATGAGGTGGGAAGCCTCTGATTGTCTGGGTGCACCACATGACTTAACCAGCAGTCATATCCTCTGGATGACCTCCTCCAACATATCACCCCATATGACCAACTCTTGCAGATTTACGCTCCCCACTCTTCCACAATGAGACTGAGCAGTCAACAATGTTAGCACGTTTCGTTAGCATGGGGGTGGTTCGTTTTGGAGCTATCTGGCCACATTGGAGACAGATACCACGGAACCAATAGAGGTATATGCAAGAGAAAACATAGATTAAGATAATAATTCCCAAAATAAATAATATATATATTTTTTCCATCTAGAGCCCCATGATATGAACCATTGATTTAGTAAGTCCCCTAGGCTAAAGGTTGAATCGTTCAGGGCATTCACTTATATCTTCATGTGATTTAATAAAGATGACATATTAGCAGACTCATCAGTTATAAACATACAACATTCTGCTTAGACAATGGCACAAATGCCTCCTTGCAAGGCAGTAATAATGTCTAAGACCATCCTATTTTTGGAGGACAGTTTTTCTCTTCAGAGACATTTCAGTGTTCAGTAAAGACAGGTTTTGCCCACTGTCATTTAAGGCTTGTTGGGTGAATTTATTAAGTTCTCCTACATGGGCTCTACCATCCTCCAGGCAAATGGAGGGGACAAAGATGCTGGCCAAATGTTTATACCAGTGAAAACAGAACATACCCATCCGGCCTTGAGGAAGAGAGGTTGGCGACTTTTGTTACAGAGGGGTAAACTCTCCTCTATGTCTAGGAAAAACCCAGGGTGCAATGGCTCAACCACCCCAGGGGGAAGCCATGGCCAAAGATTGTGCCACACAACAACTGGGTCTCATCTAGGACTACCTAATAAATACCTGGACATATCCATGCCAAACCAGTTGCTATTATTTTTAATATGACAGAATGACTGTACAGTTCTGGTGATATCCGTCCCATATTCCTGGTACAATTGGGTTGGTTTCCTTTAGAGTAATTTTTCTGTTCCCAACATAGGGTTACCTGGGTGATCAAATGCCCATAACCTGGGATGAGCCACATGAACCAATCCCAAATCTGAGTGCAGGCACCCCTGACTCTGATGGTGGTAGTTTTAAGACTCCTCTGGTCAGGAGTTTGATGGGCTGCCTTTGAAGTTTGATTGACAGGAAAAGAATACTCATGCCCAGGGTGATTGATAGGTTGTGCCACAGGCCAAGTTTTGGGATCACTATTGGTGGTATTAAATGAATTAAGAGTGCTAATCCCAGTTTGTTTTCCTTAATATATTGTTCTAGTGCCTTCCAGTCCCCTCCCTGGAGTGGCGATATCCACCATGGCAATCCTGATAAGCTAGAGAGGGCAGCTGCCAACATAACCATCCCGTGACTGGACACCACAGGAGCAGTCTAAAGTCAAAAAGACAGATACTTGGTGGGAACTTGTATGGGAAGTTCTTCCCCTTCTCTAAGAATTCTATCTGTGCCCTGATCCTTAGAGGTTAAAGTGGCTGCAGTGTTAGGAATTCAACTTGGTTGTGCATATTATACATGTTGGCCAGGGAAGCCAACACCATCAGACATGAGGAGCTATGGTGTGGGTGGATATGCCAAATCAGGATTCCCATCTTTTCCCTTCTTTCAGTGGTAATGTGTTCCATTCCAGGTGTGGTGTGTTTCCAGAGGTCTGGCTTGCAGCAGAACAGTGGGATCCTAGTGGAGATTGAGTAGCTCCCTCTCACACAGGAGTATGAAGTAACTCACCCATCCTGGTGGGACATACCATTGCAAATTCCAGTAGATTGATGCTGTTCCCGGGCAAGATGGGGCCTGGTGTTCTCACCACGGTGAGAGTCAGTCTACTTTCTGTCTTCTGTGACTTCCATACCTTTAAGGTGTTGGGTGACTTGGCAGGGTTCCCAATCTGGCATATGAGGCAGCAGGCCTTATTTACTGGTTGATCATTCAAATGTATTAAAACCTAAGACAGTGCTTTATTCCACCTGGCCTAGGCTGTTTTAATATTCTATTTTTACTTTCTACCAACCTGCTGCTTGTGGGTTATAGGGGAGATGGAATCTCCTTTCAATGGCATGTTTTTTTCCCAGTCTTGCACATCATGACCTTTGAAATGTGACCCCCAATCACTGTCTATTTGATGAGGGTATCCATTCATGGTACTCGGTTTCTCTAATCCCCTAATGGTGGCAACCTGGTTTTCACTGTGACAGGGGAGATCTTGGATTTGTTCAGACACAATGCCTACACAAACCAAGGTATACCTAGAACACTCATTTACAGGGAGGGGGTCCATATCCCTCATTGGTTGAGAACTTTGATGGATGGCCCCAGACTCCT